TCGATTGTGAAGGTGTTGTACATCACGAATATGCACCAACAGGTCAGACAATCAATAAAGAATACTACGTTCAAATTTTGAAACGTTTGCGTGATGCAGTAAGGAGAAAACGGCCGTACTTTTGGGAAAGTGGTGACTGGCTTCTCCATCACGATAATGCGCCAGCGCATTCATCCAATCTTGTGCAGCAGTTTTTGAGCAATTGCTTCGACAACCTCCATACATTCCCGACATAGCCCCTTGTGACTTTTGGCTGTTTCCAAAACTGAAAAAACCACTCATAGGACACCGATTCGATGACAAAACAACGGTTGGAAACAATGAGACGAGTGTACTTAAGGCTATCCCTAAAAGTGAGTTCCAGGACTGTTTTGAAAAGTGGAAACATCGATGGAACCATGTTATTCAATCAAGTGGGGATTACTTTGAAGGATGCCACCCATCAGATGATAAAGAATAACGCTAGCACGAAAATATAAAGGTAGGCCCGATACTTTCCGAACAGACCTCGTACTATTTAGCCATGGGAGCGTTCGAGCCTTCTAAACCTATCCTTTTTCCCTTTTAAATAATTTTTACGTATGGCTGCGGATAGAACCTTTCGGATTATCTATCGTATTTCACTGTTACATTTTTGAAATTACAAAATAATAATTTCATATATTTATTGTAATTTTTTTAATTTTTCTTATTAAAAAATGAAAATAAAGAAAATTAATTACTGATACATTCTGAACGTTTCTATTTGATTGTCATTTGGTATTCAATCTTTATTACGAATTGTCACGAGCAACAATTATCATTTTGATTTATAAACCCATTTCTAAAGCTTGAGTGTTGAACTTGGGATGTAAATAGTTTTGATGTTATTAAAAATCATAAGAAAAGCTAGAAGTATAGATATTTGAACATAGAACCTGCTAATTATTTTCACAATAATTTTCTTTTCTTTTCACATATTTTCATATCTTGCTCTTTAAATTCTTACATCATTCATGAGCCTCTTTTGTACAAATCCATTCTAACAGTCCTTACTTGTATCGGTACTTAAGATATCACCGATCAATATTGATTTAATTGATATTCAAGTTTTTCATGAAATAAGGATTAAATACTAGTATTCGTTATCGAATCAATGAAAACTGTAACATAGGTATATACTTCTCTTTTCATACAAATAAACAGATCTAAGATCTGATACGATTGAAAAAAATGTTTCAAAACATGAAATTGAATTTCGTTGCTGTTAAAATTAACAAGCCATATGTATTTTCCGATATATACTATATATTGTACAGGAACTATCTTATAGGCACCGCCATGAATTTCTATAGATGGGACATTTCACGCTCACATGGGACACTTTCAAGTCCGACCATTTTTAATCTTTTTTAAAATTTGGTTCTAAAGATAGTCATTGACAAGATAGTAATTGAAAAAAGATGTTTCCAGCCCTAAAACACTATTTTCATCTACACATTGATCTATACCACACAAATGAAGTTTATTAATCCTAATTTTTTTTAATGCCATCCTTATATCACGGCTTTAAATTTGTTAAAAAAAAATCAAAATATCATTTCTAACTTAAAACTTGTCGTAGATTTCGAGAAAATTATTAGTTTTTGTGTCAGAAATGATTAAAGACTTGAAAAACCTAAGAAATATTAAAAATGTATTTTTCATCCTTATCTCTAATGAATTTTTATGAATATGTTATATTTTTTTAAAAGAGCGGAAAATTTTACACGAAAAATAGTTTTAGAAAAAATGCGAGCAGTATTTTTCCGAACGTTATAAATAAATTAAAGAAAATAAATGAATTAATAAAATTCAAACTCTACACCCAATTCATAAAGGTGTTAAACGCGCACTTCGATTATATCTCTTACGCTACAATATGAATTCACCTTTATGTATTTTTATATAAAGTAAACTAATATCATTTGATCAAAGTTCATTACTTCTGATTCTATAAAACCATTATTAATTAATTAAACCTACATTAACTTAATGTTTTCTGTTGGAAATTATTTTCAATTGTATTAGTTATTATTAAATCAAGTTTTTAAGGAGTGTGCAAGAAGATGTCTCATGCAAAAAGAAAAGAGTGTTTCTACATATTCAATTTACCCAGATCTCGTATATATTTTATTTTATTTTTGAATGTAATATTTATTTACTGAACATATATTGATCTAGAATAATTTGTTTTCATACAGTTTGTTGTAAATTTAAAAAACATAAGTAATTTAGGAAAATTCCGCGAATCAGATCTATTTAAATTTCCATTTACGGCCACAGACTCTTAATTATGTCCACTGTACAGAAAGAAAGTGAAAGAATTTGTTGTTGAAGTTGCTAGCTTTGAATTTAGTAGTGCAGAACTATCTTTGTATCTATAGCAAGCCCTCACATTTTAAGAGCTTCAGATTGTAAGGTAATTATCGATAAGTTTTTGAAAATAAGTTCTATTAAAGGAAAATGATATGTAATTAAATCATAATTAACAATATACAATAATCAATTAATATTATTTTTTTTAATTATGCAAGTGTACTAATAAAAAATATGTGACATATAAATTCAAGGAAATTCATGAACTTGCAATTAAAAAATTTAAATCAGATTTTAGTTGTTCTACGTTATCAACAACTGAGAAAATTACTTCTAAATACAATGAAATTTTAAGAAACATTTAATAAAACTTTAAACATAAAACTAATAGGTAAGAAAATCTTTTTTTTAATTTATTATTTTGTTTCCTGATTTAATATTTTTCAATGATAGATCTAAAAAAATTGAGTGACTTACTAATGCTATTACCAATGCTATTACTCGAAAATTGGAATATACGAAAAATTCAAACTACCTTGTATTCAAAATCAAATCACTTCCTTATATACATGAAAACTTGAAAGAAGGTAAAGTTAAAGTAAGATTACCTAGAGAAATTGAATTTACTGCGACAAATGAGCAACTTGTCAGATTTTCATGAAAGAGAAAATAAGTCACGTCAGTTGCCTAGTAAAGATGTAAAGTCAATAAAAATACCTGATGAAACTAAGAAGTTGATACAAAAAATAATTAATATTGTCAAATCTAAAAGAACTTTATATGAGTTATAAAAAAGAAAGCAGTTTAAAAGTAGGATTTACAAAATTTACGTTATGGAGACCTCAACACATTATGTTCTTGCTGGAAGTGCTGGCACTCATACAGTATGTACTCGTATGTGCGTGTACCATCAAAATCTTAAATTAATGTTGGAAGGTATTGTATTAGTTTCTGTTTTTTAATAGTTGCTATTTTCTTTTAATAGTTTAAAAACTACGACAATTTACAGTTTTGCTTTAATTGTTTTAGTACGAATCGTCAGTGATTTATTAAAAAAATTTGTTTGTGTACAACTAAATGAAAATTTCTATTTTTGTATTTGCTAAATTTGCTCTAAAAATACGAGAATAAAATAACGTATAGAATAAGTGTGAAAAAAATGGCACAAAATAGATTTCTTACAAACCTTGGATGTACAGCATGCTAAAACGCAAAGTATATACTACGAGTAATTGAAAAATAATTAGAAAGAAGGCTAATTACTAGTAACATTAGATTTCTCTGAGAATTAGGCAGTTGTATAATTAAATTAATCCAAATGTGAGAGCCAACCTGAGGCAACAAAAAATTATAAATAAAAAAACCTCATATTTCTTAAACGTTTACGGTATACATTTCCAGCCTCTTCAGTAATTTATTACTTCTTTAATTACTATACATGTTACACTTACTATAGTTTGGTAATTAAAAAAGCCATAAATTACTGAAGAGGCTAGAAACGTATCTAGTGAAAGGTTTAAGAAATATAAGGTGTTTGAATTTATAATTTTTTGTTCCCTGGGTTTGGCTCTCACATTTGGATTAATTTATTTATTTATACATCTTGACAGTGAATATTAATTATAATATTATACAGTTGTAATTTAAAATGCTATTCAAAGATCTACTTAAATAATACAGATATTTCTATTCTTCCCTTCGTTATACATTATAGAGAAAATGGATCCTTAAAAAATCTCAGTTTTCTTGGTATTTTAGAAAATACGATTCATGATACTAGTTCAGAATATATATTTCAAAATAGATTAATTAAGTTAATTAAATTAAAAATTACAAGCATCAACAAAATATATTATTTTACCGATGGATCATCACAACATTTTTAAATTAAGGAACATTTTTAAGAATTTATTTCTATATGATAAAGATTTTGGAACCAATACTGAATGACACTTTTTGGCATCAGCTCATGGAAAAGGACCGTGTGATGGCCTCGGAATGGTCAAGAGTCAACCATGAAATCATACCTTAGTTTGGGACTCAAAGAGACATTTTAAATGTTTTTGATTTTTATGAAGCGAGTTAAAGTAAATTCGAATCAGTTAATTTTATTTACTGCTACAATGATGATTACATTAAAACCAGCCAATTATTGGAAGAAATATTTTAAGATTTTTAAGAATAATTTCAGACTGGTTAAAGGTACATTTAAATTCTATACATTAATGCCAGAAGTAGATTTTACTTAAAATATACGGAAGAAAAAAAACAGTATCAAATGATTCAAAAATTTTTAAAATAAAATAAAATTTCATATTCATAAAAGACTATTAATTGATTTTTAATTTTATATAATATTGTACCAATTCTGAATTTCTTGCTTTCTTGTAAAAAAAACTTATTTTCATTAATTTATTTACAATATTTGGAAAAAATTTTAGCATGAACTAGTTTTATAACTTTTCTATGTACAATGTTCCGTTCTTTAAAAAAAAAATATGAAAAGTGTATAAAAAGTTAGAGAAAAAGGTGAAAAACATATTTTAAAGATTTTTTGAGTTTTTAAAGCCTTCAATCATTTCTGACATAAAAACTAATATTTTTTTTAAATCTACGAAGTTTTATGTCGGAAATGATATATTGATTTTTTGTAACATATTTTGAAGCCAATAAAGATGAAAAAAAATTAAAAATAACAAACTTCTTTAGCATGGCAGAGATTAGTACATGAATGAAAATGATGTTTATTAGTTATAATCTGAGTGAGAACATCTATCGATATTTTACATTATTGTTCTATGAATAAATTTGTCTATCTTATTCCTTCAGGAGTCAACTCTAAACAGTTGTTACTTATCACCTTACAAAATAATTCATAGATGGAATTTGATAGAATCCATCGGTGGTAAATATATCAAACGTCTATATGTATAATTTAAGCAGAAATAAATGAGGTCAGAACTAACTCTGTCTATAAATTGCATATATCTATAAGTGTTGCCGATGACTTACTTAATTCGAGTACTTATTTTTCGAATTCACCAACTTTAATTTTCCATACGCTACTCTCTTGAGATGTTTCTAGATACTTATGCATTTTTTAAACTAACAAATAACGTTTCCCTTTTTTTTATATTTACAAAAATTTATTAAAGAATTCCAGTAATTGAAATTTTATTGTAGACCAACAATAACATTGATCATTTCATTTTGAAGAACATTTTGCCCCAGAACATTTTGCTTATATTTTTTTACCACAAACTATTTAGTAACAAATATGACTGAAATTTTTACACTTTCGTGAAGTCGATGACTTTATGTTATAATTTCAGCGAATTGTAATTCAATGGAAATCTTTTTTTGCCATCGCATACATACGTATATATGGTACATTTATCTAATATGCCCCCCTTCCTAATATGTCCCTTGGCTGGTATTTAAAATTGAAATGTCCTACTAATACGTCATTTTGTGATAGTCGTATAGTCCAGTTTACTAATTAATGTGTCAAAATTTTGAAGTCTACAAAATATTGATTCGAGTTTTCGAAGATATTTTATGTTTTAACCAAGTATCTTTTTCATTTTTTTAATATCTTGAAGGTGAGTATGTAAAATTTAAGCTCATTATCTTATTATTTCGAAAACAAAATTTCCTATTTACCATTCGATTCAATGTTTTTTATTATTTCAAAAAAGCTTTTCAAAATTTCTGTAGTTTATGAATTAGCAAAATGCCGCCTCGATTACTATTTTTACTCAATTTGTCTCAATATAGTCGCTTGCGAAAACAATGTAGAAACAATTTATAAACATTACAATTATGTCTATTGTTTTAGTTTTGAATTGGTGAACGCAAGCAGAATAAAATGGATATAGAAAAACTTGACATGCTCAATATATGTCGAAGAATTATAATTTTTATTTGCCCTGACTGCGTATAGATGACTAAAGACTTTATATTATTTTTAAAATAAATTCTGAATTTTGTCATATTATTTACAAATATTTATTGCAAGGTATTTTTTAATTATTTTTAAAAACTATTATTTTAGTTTTTATTATTTTCGTGTACTTTTGACTGGAATAAAATTATTTTTTTATCATTTTTAATTGAAAATCTGTATTAATAAGAATCCAAACCCTAATATTATTTTGTTCAAGTCAAAGTGTAGTTCTCAAAACTAGCATAGTGTATACTTTTACTAAATAGTATTAAAAAATACTTGTAACGTTAATTACAATAAATTTTGATATTAAAACTTATTTTCAAGTGTTTTATATGATTTTTACCTTCCAAAACTCATTTTTCAAAAGGAGCCATATTGAGCACACTAACTCGTGTGTATAAAAAAAAAGTAGTTTGCTGCAAAAAGCTATAATTCAAGCACGTGTCATCAAATTGATCGTTTGATGGTTTATTTTGAAGGACAGGATGTAGCTTTTACATGAATTCTCCTATATTAAAAAATTCAATTTTGGTTAAAAGTTATGGTTGTTCGGGCATAGGTAGGGCATATTAGGCAAATATACCTTATATTTGTGTATGTATGTCTGTGTGTGTGATTACAAAAATTTATCATAACTAGATTTCGATACATTAGCGCTTAACTAAGTTCAGCTAAGTCAGCATTCCCGGAGCACAAAAAAATTTAAGAAATCGTTTTCAAAGAAAATTCAGGCTATAAACTCAATAAAAAATAAAAAATATAACTCAATAAAAAGCCGAGTGCATCATTTGTTTTATTTACATAACCATGATTTTGGTTGAATATCAACTTCCATTTTTATTCTAGGTAGTCGACTTCAATTGAGGATTATAGAATAACTCGGAGCATACTATATACCAAATTGATTTTTGGAAATGTATGAAAATCCCAATATCCCAGTATTAAAAAGATGCTCCTGTTTGCTATATATATTTAAATATAATATTAATGGTATGGAGGGCTTTCTTAAAATGTAAAAGTATTATCTATTGATAAATTTAAAAATCATACATTATTGTACAAACCGATATTTAACAGTTAATTGGAAGCGCATAAATATTTTGCGTTACATCTATTAATTAGAATGGCTTTTTCGCTCATTCAATGAAAATAAATAGTACAAGTAAAATGAATTCTTATGCGGAAACACTTCGAGAAAGTTTGATGTTGAATCTAAAAAAAAACTTGTAAATATACTAAAACTATTGAGTTATTTTTCTTCTAAAAATAAATAGAGCAACTGGTTTCCGCTAGGTTCAGTCGATTACTTAATTATAAATCATTATTTCCATTGCAATGTGACGATATGATAGTTTAGAACACCAATATAACACTGCAGTAAAACAATTTGAATGATTAACAGATTTACAAGAGATGAACGATCAAATGCGAATGAACGCTACTCAGCCAAGGTACTTAAAAAAATTAAAAATGAAAAAATAAAGATTCGTCAGTCTAAAATAATGGTGGTATGAGAGAATACAATTGCAAAAAATGAATGAATATGTTATCGACCAACTGTCGATGCAAAGGCCGTAGTTGTGAAGGCAAGGGGAGAAATGTTGATAAATCGCCTAGCTAGAATGGAGATGGTAGGTGGCGAAAACGTTGGTATATAAGGTCTGGCAGCAGAAATCAACACCGTTGGTATTGCAGTTGCTAAAGTGGTGATCGCCATAGTAATGATGATTATCGCTATTATGACGATAACAGTAGTGACGGTCGTTGCTGTTGTTGTTGCTGCTGATGCTATTGTTGTTTCTGATGCAGTTATTGTTGCTATTGCTGTTTATTGTGCTGGTAATGCCGCTGCGTTGTCTTAGACTAGTGAGCCATGTCGGTATAGACGATATTCTGAGATCCCCATCGCTAAAGCAACTTGAGGACACTAAGTACGGCCTGAATAGTTAGGGTTTGCCAACGTCATTGTTCATAGGGATTGAGTCGGCAAGCTTGGCTGAATGCTGCTGGGATAAATGATGCTGCGAATGATGTTGAAGTTGCGGTTGCTGTTGTATTATTGACTGAGATGGTGACGGCTGCTGCTGCACTGCCGATGTTGCTTGAAAAATCAGGTAATTAGAAAATTGAGTAAATTCGATTAACGTGGAAAGAAAGGATATAGAGAAAGTAATGTTGATCTTAGGAAGGCGCCAAGATAAATCTAAATATGACTATCGAATTTTAGTTAAACTAAAATAAAGAAAAGGAAACGGTCAAACTTAAACGCAGGAAATATAATAACAATTTAAACATTAGTAATAGACATATGTTTGTAATAATTTTATTGTATTTTTACTTTCATTAAATAATTTACTACTTTTTTGTAGAGAACTTAAAAGGCAGCTAATTTCTAGTTATGCCCAATTACTTCAATGGAACTAAATTCACCGAGCTAATTAAAATATTGCACTCATTAGACAGATACGTACATTTTAGTTTATGACAATCGATGTAGGTATATTAACGTATGTTAAGATAAATTAAAGATTGATTGTAGGATAATCAAATGAATTTTTCCTCATGGACTTTATCAGCACTTTTTATTTGAAATTGAAAAAAATGGGATAACTAACATTTAATTATTAAGTGTGAATAGCTTGAAATAACAATGAATACAAGGTGTATAGATTAATCACTAATACTCGTAACTTGAGTTACAATGCTCCTAGCAAACTTGTTCTTCAAATTTGACGAACCTATTTCTTATAAAAATTTGATAAAAATACATTACACTTAATTAAGCTCATCATATCTACATGCTTACCACCAGTACTTACAAAGACACTATGGCTTTTATCTTCGCGCGCGCGCGTGTGAAGATTTATATTATATATATGTATGTGACTGTGCACACACATACACACACACTTACGCGCAGATAAGGTAGTGTTAATTAATTCTAAGAAACTTCATTTTAAAGCTACCGTGACAAGTTTTAAAATGATTTTTTATACAATCAACTATTGTACACTAGACGGACATTAATTCGTATCTCCCGAAATTCAAAATCGAAATAAATTTTCGTTTGCTGAGCATCACTGGCATCGAAAAAAGTTAGGTCGAGGTTTATTTTTTGCGAATTGCGTAGTTCGAACTTGAGGCTGATATGGCTACGTTTGCTTAAAACCAAAGGACCACGATGTTTACAACTGTCAGATAAGTTGATCGCGAAAACATAACTAATTTTTTTTTATTATCTTATAATATGAGACAGTAAGGATGAACGCGGAAGACTTTGAAGGCTTATTTGGAGTGAGCGATAATATTTACATAATGATTCTCATGCTGATTTGGATATGTTTTATTTATTTATTATCAATTAAACGTATGTACATCAAAATAGTATAGCTAAATACTGTTATCTTTTTAGTAATGAACAAGAAAATTTCATGACTTGATACTAAGAATGAACTCTCAATAGGAAAACAAGATGTCGAAAATATTTCAAAATTAACTCAAATTTATCTTACAAATAAGGAAAATTTGCATTTTAAACATCATGCAAAACAAATTATGTTTAGTAGTGACTTGAAAATCCACCTTGATATTAGATGCACGAAAGAAATTGCTTAGACTATTTTTAAAGCTTAGATTAGAATGCAATACTATTTCTCATGTATCAGACTATAAATACTATATCGATTAACAATTTGCTCATTCAGTATTAATAATATTGAATCCTATATTATATTATAAGCATTTACTTTATTTATAAACGTAGAAGATGAAAACTTGAGAAAAAAACAAAGGCATCAGCATAATGGTGATTGGCTGATTATTAACTAGTTGCATTAATGTACAACTGATAAATTCTATTTCAAGAATTGTAAAAGTGGAAAAGCCGTCTGTGATTGACATTTTATCATTAAAAGACACTTGTGGAACCTATTAATCGTTGGAAAATAGAAGATTGGTGCAACAAAATATTTCAATTTTAGTTTCAGAAGAATTTACTCGCCATCGTAAGCCTTTTAGTAGTGTATAACAAAACCGATTATTGTTCGAACAATTTATCATTGTTCGAAAAACATTTAATGATAGTGACTTGAGTTTAACCAATGAATAACATTTTGTTTTTATAAAAAATTAATCAAGAATGTTTCTGCCCAAAATCAAAGTGTCATGCAAATTATCATGTCAAGCTTAACAAATTTGGGATAACATACGACGACGCAGGCCGAAAAAATATAAGCTCAGACCCTTGAACTCCAATTGCCTTAACTTCCGATCTCTGTAAGTGGTGATCATATAACCATGGACTCTTGAACCCCAATTACCTTAATCCAACCCCATATCCCCTGTACTCTGTAACTATAATGTTGTTAGGAAACTGCTAAAATATTGAACATCAATCAATGATGTATCGATGAAAAGAAAAGATATGCTTAATCCAAAAAATGAGATTTAAAGCGCAAGAGTACTGCTTCATGATGATTTTACTGGTTTTTGGAAAAAAAAATTTATCACAGTATTAAATTACCTCGAAGATAGTAAATAATCGTGAGTTTTATACTTTTAGGTTAGGATATCTCGAGAACTTAAGGTGATGGATCAATTCTGAATCCAGATTCAGATTCAGTGCATTGAATACCTTTAGAAATATACAATTACGTTTTAGAAATATACTATAAATTTTTGTTGACGTCAGTCTCTATTATTAGCTTTATCCGTATTATGATCGTGTGCAGCTAACAATTGTAGTTTTCTATATCTGTATACGTCACACAGAACAAACGTCTCATCCTCTTTCTTTTATAAAAAAGAGAATCTGACAAAGTGAAACCAGTTTATTCGTGATCTGATTGACTGAAACAAACTCAAAAATGAATTTACACTTAACTGCGACGATGCACTACATTGCATATACATCACTACAGACAAAATTATATGCTTTACGAGATAATTATAAACTCGTATATGCAATCAAGAGAGACACACCGCCAAATATTGCTCTAATAATAAAGATTCGCAGAATAAAGACAAAGATACAGTGCTCGGCTATGGATTCGGAAAATAATGTAAATTACAGTAGCAATAACATAACTGAGATTTAGAGGAAACTGACACTGGCACTCAGAAAACTGACATTGAGATCTCTGGAAACCAAAAAACTATGGTATCCACTCAAGAAAATCAAACAGTCAATCGCTCTTTAGAAAGCCTATAGCGATCGAAGGCAAAAATAATCAAAAAAGGCAAATGTTAGTTAACAGCAAAACAAACGACAGATTTCGCAAGAACCAAAGCTAAACACAGAAAAACCACCAAAAAAATGAAACTCATACATAATATACCTTCTGAAAATCTTAAAACTTCGATCGATACTGCTGTAGTTAAAATGTACAGCTCTACGTTGGCAACGTTACCTATCACTCTTGAGAACTTATATAACTTCTTGACTAATTGTAAGACATATGGATGTGAATACGAGTATAAGCAAGTACCTGATTTAGCAGATAAATGCACACAAAACCCAACTACACTAATTGTTTTACTAGAAGAACTTCATAAGCACATTATCGGTAGCTCTCTGAAAAGAAGAATCACAAGCATTAACGAACAACTACAAGCCACAGTGGATCAAATGTATGTCGATAAACAAGAATCATCAAACTACGAAAATCAAACAGAGTAAGTTTGTATTGCCTTCGTCTTCCGTTCCACCTATTAGATATTAATTATATAAGATTAATGGAATTAAAGGAGGATCTTAGAGATAAGAAAAAATATATATCCACTGAATTATGAATAATGTATTGAAATCCTCAAAGAATACGCAATAAAAGAGAGAAAATAACTCAAATCATTCAGGATGTCGATATCCTAATTTGCGTAGTCATGGTTAAAAGAAAAAGATAATTTCCATTTCGTTAGTTTCAATACATTTCGTAAAGACCGTGAATATAAAATGGGAGGCGGAATAGTATTTCTTATACGTAAAAAATTCAATTACGTTGAAGTTAAAAATGTACACAATGCAAATATGTATACTGAACTTTGTATGTTTGGAGTCACTAACCTAAAAGAATCTATAATAATCATTGCTTGTTATAAATCTCCCGAAATACATTTGAACAATTTTTAATGGAGCACTTTATTGAGCAACACGAAAGCTAAAAGTAAATGTATACTACTTGGTGACTTAAATTGTCACAACGAAGCATAGAATTGTGCAGACATCGATGAGGATAGTAGGAACTTACTATTGCAATCCAAGAATAATTTTTACAAAATAAGAACTCTTATATGGGTATCGACCCGGATAATAAGAAAAATCTAACATTGTTCTCGCTTTTTCGACTATAAAAACACAGTGCATCTACTCAAAGTTACCGTTAGCAACGCCTCTTGAATCGGATCATTTCCCAATAGATGTGAAATTTAACACCAAAAAGTATTTGTACCGAGAAAACAACCTTTAAAATTTAAACTAAGCGTACTGAATGGAACCTAGTTAACGATATTTTTCGACACTTCGTACGGAAAGTGCGTTTTTTTCCGCACGCTCGGCAAAAAACGTGTGTTAAAAATCGCACTTTCCAACGTTATATCAAAAAATACGGTACGGCACATGTTCGGGAAAGAGTTTCTCGTCTCGTGTACCTTTCCACCCTCGCTTCGCTTGGGCGTAAACGCCACACGAGACAAGAATCTACTTTCCCGCACTTGTATCGTAATGTACTATTACATATCAATTTTGATACGTGTATCTTTCCACTCTCGCTTCGCTCGGGCGTAAACGCCACACGAGACAAGAATCTACTTTCCCGCACTTGTATCGTAATGTACTATTACATATCAATTTTGATACGTTTCTGAATACTGACTATGACAACCTCTCCACTTTAGAAAAATATGAAATATTCATGAAAACTATTTCAGAAACATCGAAAAAGGCCACGCCCAAAAAAAGACACTTCAATAAAAAAAAATTACATAAATTCAGTAGCATGGTAAAATTGCGATTGTGATAGGATAAAACGCCAAAGACAGACAGAAAAAGAGAATTTGAGAAGATATGGTATATAAGAAATGGAAATTCTTAGGAAAACTTACTCA